ACTAGGTTCTATAATTATTTTTTTATATCATTAGAGAGCACAAAAATTGAATATATATCTATGCCAATTTTTTTTTCTATTTCTCTTTTATATATACATATATATATATATATATATATATATATATTTCTCAATTTTTTTTCTCTTGAATATAAAATAATAATTAAAAATCATAAAAAATATCATTTATGTCATACTCCTTCAATTATACATTTTAATTTCTCTCTTCTTTACTATTATTTTTCTCTCAATCATTCAAAATTACATAAACAAATATTTATATTTTAAAATTAATATATGCATTAAACTTTAATAAATTAAAATAAAAAATAATAAAATATACGGATACATAGACGTACGGTTATATTTTCGCTTGTATTAAGAATACTAATATATAAACAATTAAAAATAAAAGAAAAAAATCATTTGACAATTTTTTTTATAAATATAACAATGCTAAAAATATTTAAAAATTGGTTATCAAAATAAGTTCTCAATTTTTTTCTAATAAATACAAAAAATATTGGACAAATCAATTTTATAAATAATATATTTAAAAAGAAATTACTTAAATATAATTATTTTAAGTTTATTTATTTAACTAGACATATTTAGTATTTATTTAATATCATTTTTTTCTCATTTATTTTCTTAATTTTCTTTCTCTTTATATTTTTTATTTAGTGTCTCATGTTTTTCCATTTTATCTTATTCTTTAATGAAAAGTAATATATTAAAATTTGATGAAATGAGTATTTTATTATTTTTATAATTAAAATAAAGATATATTTTTCAAAAATATTATATGATAAATTTAAAATATTGTAAATATTATTGTTATGTTATAATTATTAATATAAAAATTAATTAATTATCATAACTCAACCTAATTACAATTAGAATAAATTATCAAATAAAAAAATATTTAGCTTATCAAATAAAAAATATTACATCTGTTAAATTAAAATTTTGAGTAAATAAATTTATTTACAGTCATAATAAATAAAATTATTTATTTTTATTATAACTTTAAATAATTAGTAAACATTTTGTTAATTTTAAGGTTGATTTTAAAATATTCATGAAATTTTAATATGATATTTTAATTAGAAGAATAGACGAGAAAGAGAGGAAAAAAAGAAGATGAAGAAGAGATGAGATAAAAAAAAGAAAAAGATAAAGAGAACAAATAAAAAAAAAAAAATCATGAGAAAAGTGAAGAAAATTTTCTTCAACATCAATGGTTTGTGGTTGGTGCTGTATTGCAGAACACATTTAATTGCAGGAATGGTTAATGCAATCTAGCTAAGGAAGAGTGATATGTGATCTTGGTGTTTGGGTATGTTTGCGGATCAAAACGAATTTGCGTGAAAGCCAATGACAAGTTTCATATCTGATTAATGCAAATGTAAGATGAATTTACATATACACTAATAAAGTAGTAAGTTTATTGATTTGTTAATTGTTTTATTTCTGTGAAATACATGTGATGACATATCTGTGCGTATGTTTAGATAACTTTTTATTAGATGAAAATAAGAACAAAAATAAAATCAACCTTTTTTTTATATAAATTAAAAATAATTTACATATAGATTAATTACTGGTAAAAGTTTTTTCAATGAAGTTTTAAAATTTTTAATTTATATTTTTGTTTGTAGAAGTTGATTTTATGTTATAAATAAATAAATATAAAGAAAGAAAGATATATAATAAAAATGTCTTGAAAGTTTTTTTTTATTACTGATTAAAATTTTAAATTTGTAAAAGTTATGATATGAGGTCGAATTTAACAGTTAAATTTAATGAAAAATCAAATGGTTGACTGTTTATATAAACTGTTATAACTTTAACATTATAATTTATTTAATTATTATAAAATTTTAAATTAATAATCAAGAATAAAAAATAGTAATATATATAGTAACCTAATTTTATTCAAATCTTAAATACTACATATAATAATAATAATAATATAATATAATATAACATTAATTTTGCTTACCAATAATTATTTTTCAATCAGTAATATAATGATTATATTTAATGCTTCGTTTTTCATTTTATTTAAATATTATATATTTATAGATATATAATATGTAATAAATAATAAATTTTAGATAAAATTTATTCTAACCGTTTTAATTATATTTAGTGAAGAATTAAATGGTTGATATAATTGTTATGTATATATAATTTTGATAACTAAATGTCAGCGTTTTGAAATATTTGGAGAGTATTCAATAATAATGTGTAGTTCATAATAATATTATATTTATTTTAAAATTTAAAATTTAAAATTTAAAATTTAAAATTTAAAATTTAAAATTTAAAATTTAAAATTAAGTAAGAATAAAAATAAATAATATATAAAAATAATGGATAAATCTTATAAATAATATATTTTTTCAAAAATATCTAATACTTTTTTTATTCATCCCAATAAAATGAAATGATATACTCATTTGTACAATATTTTTTTTTAAAATGACATAACAATATATTAGATTTTCTAATTCTTTTAAATTTTGTGATATAATTAGGAAGACGTTTCAAGTATCATTTTGTGATATAATTAGGAAGACATTTCAAGTATCATCCATGAGTTATTAGAAATACCAGTTTTGTATACTCTATTTGATATCTATTAATGCCAGAATCAATAAATTCTACGTTCCATTATTCACAAAAATTTTGGTTCGTCCTTTTGATATCTTATTACTCGATATTTTTACGAATGCAAATCTCACTTTTTATAGACCCAAGTTCTTTAACAAAATAATCCATTTTTAAGGTTGGTTGGTTTTGTATTGAAAAGTATAATTAGATCGGATTATATTTTTATCCATGATTTTTCTTGTTTATATATATATATATATATATATATATATATATATATATATATATATATATCTTTTTTTTCTTCAATTTTTTATTTATTTTTTTATCATCTTATTTACTTTTATCTCTCACTTATTATTCTAATTGAATATTATATTAAAATTTAATAAAATATATTAAAGTAATTTTCTAAAAATCTACATTTGAAACTAAAAAAATATAAATTAATTATTGAAAATTATGATAATAATTAATTTAAAATTATTTTATCATAATAAATAAGTTATTTGTTCAATTAAAAAAATTTAAAAATTTATGAGTTGAATTTATTTTTATTTAGAAATTTTATTTAATTATAATTAGGTTAAATTATAATGATTAATTAGATTAAAAATTTTAAAATATTTATTAAAAAATAATTTTAAAATAAATATTGAATTTTTTAAATAATTATGAGATAAAAAATATTATAATATCTTAAAAAATTTTATGTCATTTTTTTAAAATATAATGTATAAGGTATAATATTTTTGAGTAGTTTAAATATTTTTATTTATAGAAATAATAAAAGTCCTTTTTTATTACATTTTTAGTTAGAAAAATAAGATAGGGTAAGAAAAAAAAAAGAGGGAGAGGGAAAAAATAAAACAAACATTGACTGAGGAGAAAAAAATAAAAAAAGTGAAAAAAGAAAGAAAAATTAAATATATTATGTTAGACAATTTTATTTTTTATTATCAAATTTTATATATGAATAATAAATTTGTATAATTAGATAAATAAATAAATCAAAATATATTTAATTATTTTTTAAAATATATTATTTATAAGATTGATTAAAAAATAATATATAATAAATTTAAAAAATAATTATAGATAAATAATATCTATATATAATAACTCTCTAATTTTAAAGTATTTACGATTTTATATAAAAATAATATTTTTATTTATAAACGACGATTTTTTTTATTAGAGATACTTAAATATATTACTTTAAAATTTCTTTGTTTATTTTTATAATTTTTTTCTAATCATCCCTGCTTTAATTATTTTTTTATATAAAATATATTTAATAATTATATTTTACTTTATAAATAAAATGTTATGGATTGTCGTGAACAGTTTAGTTATAAAAATTAAAATTTCACTATAATGATTTTGTTTCTATATATTAATTCTTTAGGATAGTTTTCTATTGTTTTTATTTCAAGAAAATTTAGAGTTCTAATTAAAGTAACAATTTTTTAAAAGGTAATTGTCTCGCGCACATGATTCAAAACATAATTTCTTTTAAATTGTATGAAAAAATATATTATAATCTTTTGTAAAATAATTGTATATATGGCTTCTGAAACTAATTTTTTGACTCCATTTTATTTAATTTATATTTAGGAAGGAGATATTATATTATGTAAATAAACAATATATGTTAATTATTCCTCTTATAAAAAATAATCACCTATTAAATTTTATTAATATAATAATAATAATAATAATAATAATAATAGTAAAGTATGAAAGTTTCATATTTATCATTATTGTTATTGTTATTATTATATCAAATAGGAATAGTTATAGTTTGCTATCTAAATTAATTTATTTTAACTCTTAAAATTTAAAAAAATATAATTTTAATTTATAAACATTAAATTTAAAGGATTAAAAAAAAATTTAAATATTATTTTTTTATCTACATCTTAAATCCTTTTTTTTTTTGAAAAAATTATGTCAATTTTATCTTTAGAGTTAAAATATTTTTTTCTAATTTAAAATCAGTAAGAAAAATATTATTTTCTAAGTTTTTGAGACCAAAAAAAAAATTACTTCAAATTTTAAAACTAAAAACATAGTTAAATTCATATTTTAAAACATTATAAATTTTTTAATTGATTTAATTCATATTATTTATGTGATGTAAACAGTTTTGTAACAATAGACTAAACGAATAATTAAACACTTTTTAATATTTTAATCATACAAATTGAGACTTGAAGAAGAAATGTGTATTGAATATTTATTCATTAACTTAAAACAACAACCATTGTTGAAGTAAAACTGGTGATAGTATTCTGAGTAATCAAGATGCAGAGACACACATGTATAGCAAACTTTCGATGCTGCAAAACAACATTGCTAGCATTCTAGGTCAGTTGACATCAAGCAGAGATTTCAGTGGTAGCAACTTGGTCATTCTCGAGCTGACTGTAATTGCCCTTCTCTTTGAAAAGTTGAATGTGATGGTGTTTGCAGTAGAGCTTTCCTTCGTGTGTGATAAAGTTTGATGAGCTAATAGTACATCCTCCATAGGTACATTTGAAGCAGCTCTTATGGTAGGGTGTCCCATTAACCGTTACCTTTAATATATTTAAACAGTAACAACAATGATACATTTTATACATGTCAGTATCAATAATCAGAAGTCGGAAGAATAAATATATCAGTGAATTGAAAGAAGTTTGATAATATTGTGTTGGTTACCCTCTCGGTGGGATACACTGTCTTTTTGCAACACACACATTTGTCTCTGGTACCCAAGAACACATTTGCGATGCCCTTAGCATTCTGCTTAAAATTACCCAGTTCGATTTAGATGTAAGTGAAATCAATGAAAATGGTAACTGCAAACTTTGCATGACATATGAAGCATACTTGGTCAAACTTCAAACAGGCTCAAATAATAAATAAAAAATCTGAAGCATGTTAAGAAGTACAGAAAAATCACCTCATTATCATTGACCAGTTTCTCCGGTTTTTGAATTTTTGGTGTTCCTGTGATATGAGAACAAGAGGCATCAAAAAGGGGAAACATTTAGGCCTTGTTTATTTATAAAAACAGTTCGATTTTTTAATCTCTGGTTTTGAAGTCAATTTTACCTTCGAAGCTTTTGTCCAGGCTGCCAGTTCGCTTGTAGAGTTGATCATAATGAGGTCTGCAGTATAGCACCCCCTCAAAAGAACAGTAGTTGCTCAGCTGCAAACAAAGTTACACCACAGTTGTTAAAAAAATGTAGGATTTGATCAACTTCTGAGAAACATTTTTGTGGACTGGTATAGAATATAAAAGAGTTAATGTACAAATTCGCCATCCCCAATCAACATTATAAGATACGCCATTCTTGATCAAATGGGAAAATGCGTATTGATTATGCATGCAATATATAAATATTATATGTATACTTTAAGGGTATTGCGGCAATGGTGGCATCTGAAGCAGGCCTTATGAAAGATACGGCCATCCGCAGTTAGCTTATCAACAAGGTACACCGTTTTGTCACAAGCCATGCACTTTTGTGTGGTTCCTCCAAAACTGGCCATGGCTTCTTGTGCTACCACAAAGCTTGACAAGAACGAGAGAAAGGGAGGGTGGGAAGTTGCACTCTCTGCAAGGATTTATTTTGTCCTAACTGTCCTTATCCCCCCTCTGCTTTTCTTTCTCTCCTTTTGCCTCTGATGAAGAATGGGGATGATGGCAAGAGTTTAAAAAGACAGAAATTGTGGCCAGCAGTGAATTGCGGATCACCTTAAACAACTTAATCATATTGCCCGAATTTTAAGTAATTGCATTGATTATGTCATACATCAGAGTTTTTGTCTTCTTTTTTGGGAAACAAAAAATAACTTCCATTGAGTTTGTTGTGAACTAATAGTGGATCAAGCTTTGAATATTATATTAATAGGATCTTTATTATAGAAGGTATAGAAATACTCTAAATTTAGTTGAAGATGAATGCATACATGTCCATAATTTTATTTTTTTATTAAAGAAAAGAAGTTAACATTATATAATCGAATGATGAATAAATAACATAATGTTATTTGACCATGATTAGAGCTGGCCTGACAAAATTTCTAAAAAGATTTTTGTGGATACTGTCCAATGTTATAAAGATTCTGATTTGAGCGTTCTTTCGCTTCGGTCCTCGTGAAAAAAATTCACCTAATATAAGATTCTGTTGGATATGAATATTAGGCAAAAATACTTCCATTTATTTAGTTTTCTAGTTTCAGATGTTGTTAAATTTAAAAACAAATTTGACATTTATGTAGGGCATTTGGTCTAGTGGTATGATTCTCGCTTCGGGTGCGAGAGGTCCTGAGTTCGATTCTCGGAATGCCCCTTGATTTGTTATCAGCTTTTACCCATTAAATCAAGTCACTTATCTGCGTAAGAAGTTAATAAGCCATCAAATGTTTTGTCGTTTGAACTTTAGACGTTGCAAGTTCATAATTTTTTCGGTGCCTGCTACTGAAAATAGAATACATTGATTTCGTTTAAGTCATATTTTATGATCAATCAGAGACCATATAACACGTATTGTAAGATAGAGTTTCCTAGGAAATCTCAATCTGGGCATTTGGTCTAGTGGTATGATTCTCGCTTAGGGTGCGAGAGGTCCCGAGTTCAATTCTCGGAATGCCCCGTTTTTTCTACAAACTTTTTGGTCTGTGGTATGACTCATTTAGGCCTTCCCAAGCTCATCATTGGAATGCCCTATATTTTGTTGACTTGGAAATACCAAATGGCATAAACTATTATTTCTAAATTTACTCTTTTGAAGTCTGGAACATGACAAGGCTGACTTATTTATTTTGCTTATAAAAACAATATGCATCAGAGGTTGATGTGAATGTGTGGTGATGAATTATGAGATACATTAACATCACAGTTTGGTCTTCCAGTACAAAACCAGAGGGGTAAGGAAACTCTCTTTGGATACCTTGACTAACAATTTCCTATCCAGATAAGCAAATTTGGTAATTTTGTATGCTATTTTCTACAGAACTGTACAGAAGACCATATGCACTAACAAAGTATATGACTTATATATATACTTAACTTAGTCTAGGTTTCTTGTATATGGGCATTTGGTCTAGTGGTATGATTCTCGATTCTCGGAATGCCCCAATATTTTTAAATTTTAGCATGCACTGCTTTCTCAGACTCTACTTTTTTTTCATATTTATTAGAGTACTGGTATTTTGACAACTGATTTCAAACATCCCTTCGACAACTGAATAAAAAAATATTAAATGCACAGTGTTACCGAATAAAAAATATTAAATGCACAGTGTTTTGGCAGGTAGCGTCGCTCGAGCGATGTAAATTTCGCTTGAGCGACGACACTTTAGATAGCGGTTAATAACAACCTCTTTTAAAAAAACATATAATATAGCGGTTTGTGAGTGAACCGCTCACTAAAGTATGTTTTTGTTAGCGGTTCAGAAGTAACCGCTATCTAAAGTCATTTTCTTTTTCATTCTTCCCTCCTACTTTCTTTAACCTCGCGCTCTTTCTGACTGCGATTTTTTGCCGCTCTCATTCTCGCTCTCTGCGCTCTCATTCTCGCTCTCTGCGATCTCATTCTCGCTCTCTGCGTCTTCTATTAAGCTTAAGGTACGTTCTTTGTATTTTCAATCTTTCTGATTCTCTTGCTCACATTGAAGCATATTACATTGTAATATATTTGTGTGTCGCCAAGTTCGCGTTCCAGTCTCCATTCGCCATTGTTGTTGTAGGCCGCGCTTATTGGGAGTTAGTGCATTATATATTTTTAGGATTTAGCGTTTAGAGTTTGTCTACATTGTGATCTAAAATTGTGTTTTTTGGGTAGATAAACGATTGAACATTTACATTGACTATTTTCGTCTCCAAGTTCCGAACTTATATAACTTGCTATTATATTGTTGGCAATGGTAGGAATTGTATCCTTCATCGTTTATCTAGCATGGGAGATATAAATGAAAACAGAGATGTAGCTGTCAATGAAGGCATTTTGGCCGTGTATGATGACATAGGTAGTGATGCGGATGTACAACAATGTGATGGTCCTCTCAAAGGTGTAGACCAAGAAATGATAGGTGTACATGATAAAATACCCAGTAATGCAGATGCCACAAGTTTACATGAAGAAGAAGTATTGGTTGGCCATGATGAAGGATCTCTTGACGCAGATGTCGGGACTACAACGAGAATACGACGGTTCTGTTCCATGTGTAGGAATGTTCTTTGAAGCTGCAGATGCGGTTAAATCATTTTATCGACAATATGCCATACAAAAAGGATTTGACATCAAAACAAGGAGTTCAAAGAAGGGGCCAGATAACCAATTGCGGTACTTCATGTTGGTGTGTGCAAGGGCTGGTAAGTATGTTTCGCTACACCTACGAAATTAGAACCCAACCCACCAAAACAAATTCATGTCCTGCACGGATAACAATTGTATTAAAGGAAGGACTATGGTATATTATGTCGGTAAATGATGAACATTCACATTCTCTTAGCCCAAAGAAATCCAGAATGTTTCGAAGCAATAGGAACATTAGTTTGCATGTGAAGAGGACTCTAGACATAAATGATGATGCAGGTGTGAGGATCAATAAAAGCTTTCGGTCAGTTGTTAGTAGTGCAGGAGGTTATGAAAACCTCCAATTTGTCGAACGAGATGTACGCAACTATGTCAATAAACAAAGACGTGCACTAGGAAAAGAAGGTGATGGGAAAGCTCTATTGAATTATTTTTCACAAATGAGGGACTTGAACAAGGATTTCTATTTTGATATAGACTTGGATGATGATAATCGTATCAAAAATGTTTTCTGGGCTGACGCTAGAAGTAGGGCGGCTTGTGAATACTTTGGCGATGTTGTTTCATTTGATACAACATACTTGACCAATAAATATGACATGCCGTTCGCACCATTTGTGGGTGTAAATCATCATGGACACTCCATATTGTTAGGGTGTGGGTTGTTATCAAGTGAAGACACCACTTCTTTTATTTGGTTATTTGAATCATGGTTACGTTGCATGTCATTGAAGGCTCCTACGGGTATTATCAGCTGACCGGTGCAAGGCAATGCAAAATGCCATTCAGATAGTTTTTCCTGAAGCCCGTCATAGGTGGTGTCTATGGCATATAATGAAAAAAATTCTAGAAAAAATGAAAGGTTATACAGAATATAAAAATATGAAGTATGCTATGAAGGAGGTTGTTTATGAGTCTTCCACCATATCTGAATTCACATCCAAATGGGCTAATTTCATATCAGATTTTGTCTTAGAAGACAATGAGTGGTTGAATAGCCTTTTCCAAGAGAAACAGAGATGGGTTCCATGCTTTTTGAAAAACCAATTTTGGGCTGGGATGTCAACTACACAACGAAGTGAAAGTATGAATGCATTTTTTGATGGATATATCAACTCAATGACATCCCTCCAACAATTTGTCAAGCAGTATGAAAATGCCTTACAAGACAAGGCTGAGAAGGAATATGAAGCTGATTTTGCATCCATGCATACAATTATTAATTGTGGATCACGGTCTACGATAGAGAGGCAATTTCGGTCGGAGTATACACATTCAAAATTCGCAGAGGTTCAAGCGGAATTTAGAGGAAAAATAAAGCTGCAGTGTTGTGCATGTGTCTTGCCTTGGATCTGCTTGGTTTTATGACGTTATGGAGGAATCTATTTGTGGTGAAGATTCTAAAGAACACCTGTACAGTGTAAGTTTCAACTGTGATGACCAAAATGTCAGTTGCACGTGCTTGCTATTTGAATTCAAAGGTATTCTTTGCCGACATTGTTTGGTCGTCCTTGCTCAACAAAGGGTTAAAAAGATTCCCTACAAATATATTTTAAGTAGATGGAGTAAAAATGTGAGAAGGAAGCATACTTATATGAAAACCACCTACAATGTAAAGGAGAAGCAACCGCAGATTGAACGATACGATGAGTTGTGCAAAAGATTTTATGAGATTGCTTGAAGTTGCATCGAGTCAATTGAGTAGACGGACATGTTGCATGAAATGATGAATAAATTTGCTCCAACACATACATCTCAACGTTGTCAAACTCAAATAGATACCAATATCTGCGAAAGTAATACTCCTAGAGATTCACAAAGCTTATATGTTGACAACGTTGACATTGATATTCGTAGCCCGTTGCATGTTAAAAGGAAAGGAAGACCACGTTCACTCCGAAAGGTGTCAACAAGTGAAAAAAGTGCAACGCAAAGGTTACAAAATAAAGGCCAGCACACGTGCACCACAAATATTGTAAGTATTATATCTACAACTGTCATGTTATTTTGTATTGGATGATTTCATAAGTTCATTAATATCTTATCTTGGCCATTACAGGGGAACACTGAAGGAACTTCGCCCGACTTATTAAACTCAACCCTTCACATAGAAACTCATGTTGATTATCGGTCATCTGGACTGGTGTGTGTCAAAAATGAAATTTATTTCATGTTATAATGATTGTTCAATTGAATGGCAGTAAAGTCATTTGTCAAAACTCATGTAAT